CACAGAAGGCTTGGGCGGAGCATTGCTGGTTGAAAAATATTAGAATTCCTTCAGGAGTTGGTCTCTAATTTATATGCTAAGTTAACTGCTTGAGAAAGCTGCCATATGATCTGCTACCGGTATGATGAATGAGATATCAGCAGAAGAAACATTTATGGGATGTAACTGAGATCTTTTACCAACTAAAATGTAAATTTAAATATTGAAAGATCTGCATACATGCTGCGCAGTTTATATATATTTTCATATATAACACCTAAATTTTTATTTCTATGATCATGCCACCTTATTGAAGCATGGAAGATCTTGCTCTGATGAGTTCTTGCCTGGCTATGTGAGTAATCTTTCTAATCTGCGTCACATGCAATTGTCCCCAAACTTATCTTTTAATCTTTCTAGAAATATTTTGTTTTACAAATGATTTGGTGTTAGATATGTAAAAATATACAAATTGATTGGCATCTATATAAATCTTCTGATTTAATATTCTTATATCAAAATTGAATTGGATATTTTTTTATTAATCTTTTTTTCAAATTGTATGTTTTTTTATTATTTATTTTCTAACTGGTCTGTTCTCCCTTAAACAGTTTTAGTTAGATGAGCTACAGGTTTTTAGGAAAGTCCGAGCAAGTATTATGTCGCTGCGGACTGCCGTCCTTATTACTAACATCTCATTAGCAACATAGCTACGGGCGGCATTTCTATATGTATCTGCGGTGGGCACACGGACCGGAGGACTGCAAGTTCTTAAGGTGAGCAGAAAGTATGTCTCATTCTACGTTTTCCCAACCGGACAACGTTGTTTAGGGTTCCATGGTATCACAACTTGAGATGTATATATTTATCACTATTATGTGAGGTGTATATCTTTTTTGTACTGTTATGAAAGGATTTTTTGGTTCTAAAATATATAATGTGTAGACATTGTTGTTTTGTTGATAAAATTATAATTTATGCGTGCTAGATTGTTCATTTACTTAAAAAAACCTGTAAATCAGATGCTATCAAAACGCACAAACCAAACAGCTACACACCTTATTCAAAACAGGGACAGAATGGTCATTTATCCATAATTAGCTGTTTTCCAAACGCACAAACCAAACAGTCAGACAACTTATCCGGATCAGCTGCTGATCAGGAGCTTATCAGGATAAGCAGTTTATCTGAATAAGCTGGATAAGTTGTAGCTGCCCTAAACAAACCCTTAAACTCTTGAAAAATTGTTAATATCAGTTACTGATTCAAAAATGTATTTACAAAAATGCATCAAAGAAAGTAAAACTGATATGTAGCGCCTCTAATTATATAAGAGCAAATTAATGAAATACAATGACTTGTAAGACCCACTAATGTGGGGGTGAAAGTGTAATTTTATCCAATCACATCAATTATTATAAATAGATATTGATACTTTATCTTGTCCATTTTGGGCTCTTTTCTCTCTCAGTTTCTCTCGTCTTACAAATCAGAATTCAACAAATATATTCTTCCAAAGGCCACGAACCTGCTTTTCGATAAATGATCAATTACGGGTTAAAACAATGTAGTTTTTCCAATCTATTAATTTGAATCACATACTTTACCAATTGTAGTTCACTCATTGTTATGTAAAAGTATGTATTATTTATAAAGAAATTATTATTATTATTATTACTATTGTTATATTTATAATCATTTAATCACTGAAAAAGAGAAATACGAATTCGTATTTTTTAATAATTTCCACAAGCGAAGTACCAAACAATTTTTGTATAACTAGTTCTCAAGTTTTCTTTCTCAACTAAAATAAGAGAATTAAAATATTTAAATTCGGATCATCATCGTTTACATATTTAATCTAACACGCAATAATGGCGTGGATGCAACTCAGTCTGATTTGACCACACAACTACAGTCTCCAATATCAAATTAAATAACCCAACGGATCAGGAAAGATATGGGAAAATCCGGCAGGTTTTGGCCCAACATTAAAATATTGATAAATCTTGGGGACATTTTTATAATCTTTTGAAAGAAACATCACTAAAATTTTAATTTAATGCAAAATTTGTAATTAAATTGTGTTTGTGAACCTTCGCTAGATTTCATGAGTTGTAATTTGAGTTCATTTACATAATTATTTTTATTACACATTTAAGTATTTGGAGATTGGCTCATAACCTAAGATGAAGTTATACATGAAAATGATGAGACAAAATCAAGACATGGGCAGGTATTGGATATGATTATAGTTTTTTGTATCTTAAAATATAAAAATAATGCATAAATAGCAGATGATTAATAAAACATTAAGAAAAACAATAATTTAACAAAATTTTTAATGCTAATATTATTTTTGTTTAAGTAGTATGAAAAAGTAAGTTGAGAATGTCAACTCCTTGAGTTGTAGGGTGGAGGCTGATTCAAGTGGGGTAAGAGTGGATTAATGGTGTGCACTATTTGGTTTTATCTAAGAAACCAAACCGACTTGAGCAGTTTTAATAATTTGGTTTTCTTTTGAACTTAAAATTTTGGTTTAAGTTTTTAAAAGTCTTTTATTTAGTTATTTAATTTCCGGTTCGATTTTAAGGCAAATTCGACCGAACTAATCGAAAACCAAAATCATCATCGTGGCCAAATTACTTAAGCTTGCCAGGGAACTAAGCAAAAACTTTCAAATTTACTCAAGTAGTGATATTCACTTAGACACTAAGGGTTATAGTTTTTATCCTTTTTTGTTCTTCTCTGGCCTCTACCTTGCGTAGTTTAGGGTTTCTCATAATCACCTCATCCCCAAATCCATTGGCCAATTCCTGACCTCACCCCTTTCCTATATCAATTTGTGAACATTTCTTCTTTGGTATAAGGCCTCTCAGTGAGAGAAAAAAGCTCTAAGCCTTACAAATATTGCATAATATAACTTCTATTTATTATAAATATGATAGCAATAAAAATATAAAAGATAACTTTTTTAGAAAAGGCATGGGGAATTATTAATTTTCCTCTTATGAGACTCTTGATTTCCCCAACTTTCTTTCTTTTTTTTTTCTTTAAGCTTTATTCTTTAGATGTGATTGATTGAGTCTAATAGTACACCTCTGACATTATCCCTTTGAGTCTCGTCCCTAATAATATAATTGATGGGGAGAGATGAGGGGCGATGAAAGTTATTGATGGAGAAGAAAACAATGAAAGCATCATGGAAGACTGAAGAAAATAAAAAATTGGGCCATAAAAGTGGTATATTGCAAGTCCCAACACCTATCTCAATGAGAAAATATTACATCCGGACTACGGATGTCCAGACAAGGGCCCGAACTTAGCAAGGAGGACGGAGGTCTGATTTCTCCCCTCCTCCGCTGTATCCGGGCCTTTGTCCGGACATACATCCGGATATAATAATTTTTCTTGTATCCCCCACTGCAGCAGTATCTTATCTTGACTTCCTCTTTATAAGCTCACTGTGCGGTGTGCACTATTTGGTTTTATCTAAGAAACCAAATCGAATCGAGCAGTTTTAATAATTTGGTTTTGTTTTGATCTTAAAAATTTCGGTTTAAGTTTTTAAAAGTTTTTTATTTAGTTTTTCAATTTCCGGTTCCGTTTTAAAGGAAATTCGATCGAGCTAACCGAAAACTAAAATCATCGTCGTGGCCAAATTACTTAAGCTAGCCAGCGAACTAAGCAGAAACTTTCAAAATTACTCAAGTAGTGATATTCAGTTAGACACTTAGGATTATAGTTTTTCTCTTTTTTGTTCTTCTCTGGCCTCTACTTTGCGTAGTTTAGGGTTTCTCATAATCACCTCATCCCCAAATCCATTGGCCACTTCCCGACCTCATCCCTTTCCTACATCAATTTGTGAACATTTCTTCTTTGGTATAAAGCCTCTCAGTGAGAGCAAAAAGCTCTCAGCCGACATAGAGTAGATTATCCAGCCAACCAAACCGAGAAGGTTGACCGAATAAACAAATAAATGACTCGACAACATATGGCAAGTGAAACGATGATTTGATAGAAAGAATTCAACATAAGTAATGGTAGTCTTGAAAGTTTTCGCCACGAACCAACAATAAAGAATCTTAAGAGCATTACAAATATTGCATAATATAACTTCTATTTATTATAAATATGATAACAATAAAATATAAAAGATAATTTTTTTAGAAAAGGCATGGAGAATTATTAAATTTCCTCTTATGAGACTCCTAATTTCCCCAACTTTTTTTTTTTTTTTTAGGCTTTATTCTTTAGATGTGATTGATTGAGTCTAATAGTACATCTCTGACATTATCCCTTTCAATCTCGTCCCTATTAATATAATTGATTGGAACTATGAGATTTCAATGAGAGATGAGGGACAATGAAAGTTATTGATGGAGAAGAAAACAATGAAGGCAATATGGAAGGCTGAAGAAAATCCAAAATTGGGTCATAAAAGTGGTATATTGCAAGTCCCAACACATATCTCAATGATAAAATATCCGAATGTCCGGACAACAGCCTGGACTCAGCGAGGAGGACGGAGGTCCAATTCCTCCCCTTGGACTCAGCGAGGAGGACGGAGGTCCGATTCCTCCCCTCATCCGCTGTATCCGGGCCTTTGTCCGGACATACATCCGGATATAATAATTTTTCCTTCTCAATAGGATTGTTGTATCCCCCACTGCAGCAATATCTTATCTTGACTTCCTCTTTATAAGCTCACTGTGATTTCCTCGTGTCCACTCGTGATACCCGTGACTTTATTTTCATTGGCATTCCATTAACTTCGTTATTTGAATGATATCTTCCGTAAATGATAAGAGTTCGGATGTCAGGAAAATGCCTCTTTAAACTCTAAATTATTTTAGCGTGAATTTTCTGAAAAGCCACCATTTTTGGCTGTTTAAAACATCTAAGAGTAAAATACACCATTTTTATTGTATAAGTTCATGACATCACCATGTTATTATTGTAAATATTAAATTTTGGCTGTTAGTACATATGCATTGTTTCCTATGTATATAAATTAAAAATATATAAATCTTAGCCCCAAACATAATTGCCTTCATCGCCAGTCTTAACAATATAAAACCCTTCTCTACGAAGCACTATTATACATCCCAAAGAATAATTAATCCCCATTCTAATCCGTTCCGTTCAACGCAACTTAAGGGATGATCGCCAACAGTCAGCGGATATCCTTGCCGCCGACCGCGCCACCGCTGGTGCAGTCTCCTCGCCGCAGCCGACGGAAGGCGGCCATCCTGAAGGATCCGAAGAGGAAGAAGGTTCGATTCGCTGAGATCGCCGGCGGGAAAGTGGCAGAATGCGCGGCCATATTCTGTTGCTGCCCCTGCGGTTTAGCAAACCTGTTTTTCCTCGCTGCCGTTAGGCTTCCGGCGGGGCTCTGCTGCCGGGCAGTCCAAAAGCGGATCTTGATCCGGCGGGCGAAGAAAAAGGCGAAGCTTTTCGAGTCCGGATCAGGATTCAACAGGGGCAGTAGTGGGGGATCCGCTAAGAGTGGATCCGTGATCGAGGACGGGTTTGTTGAGGTCGCCGGTTCGCAAGGAAGCGTTTTGATGGTTATCGGGGATACTTGGCCGGTGAGGTCCCCGGCGGCGGAGTTGGTGGAGTTCGAAAAGGAGGTCTGGTCTAAATTTTGCGGTAGGGGATTTTGGAGAAGTTCGTCGCAGAAGGATGATTTGTAACGGCGCCATGACGGAGCTGCAACGAAGTTCCCCTCTCAGCAAATTTAAAAGCTTGCATCCCTCGAAATGGCGTCAATTACACGATGCAGAATTAAGTGTGTAATAACCTCAAAATAACCTTAGGTTCGATGAGATGGTTATTTGAAGGTTATTGAGGTATAAATCCCAATAATCTATGAATATAATAACCTTTCAATATCCTTCACGGGATCTATTTAGATGTTATTTATAGGTTATTGTGAGGGTATTGCGGATTAATAAAGAATATATGTAGAGTTACATGCGTATTACGTAGACAAATATTTCTCTTTGAAATGAAAAGTGGAAGCTAAGCATTATTGTTTTCCATATTTACCTTTTTTTTTTTTTTTTTTTGGAAAAATAATTTTTAAGGGCAAATAGCTTGGGTCACCTATGAACACAGAGATTTCTACCAATCGGCCACAGTGATCGACATAATATTTCAATTTTTGAATGAAACAATATTTGGATTGAAAGATAAGAGAAGAAATAAACGAAATTTGAAGAATTTATCAATTGATTATGGATTTATTATTATTACTTTATGCTTTAATTTATTTCATTAACTCATATTTTTGGAATTTAAACAGTGTTGTAAAATAAAGACATTAATTGTGAGGATTTTTTTTTTTCACTTTAGAGTCCGTTTGGGACAGTTTATAAGTGTGAAAACACCGTCGTACCGTTTGGTTAGCGCGTTTCGCCAGTTTATCCGAAACTGCGTTTAGATTTTACACTAAACGCACGCCCGGGGGCCGCCCGGCGGGCCGCGTTTCAGGATAAGCAACTTATCCTAAAACGCACAAGCTGCCCCAAACGGACCCTTAAACTAACACATTAACATTTATGAGTGATGGGAGTATTTGCGGCAATTGAAGGTTAATTTATTCTGGGTATTATATCAAATTTTTGCAAATACTAATAAATAAATTACAAGCATCTCATAATATATTGTAGGGTTTTTACATGAAAATATAAAATAAAATGATAAGCATTAGAGTTCTCGGTTATAATGATTTACTATTGTGCATTATACATTATAATGCTATATTTTTTATGATTATTTATTATGATTTAAATAAATATTAATGATTTCTAATTGTACATTGAGGTTGTTGAGTTGTATGCGATATGATATATACATTACTAATTTCTTTTGAAAATATTTCCAACTAAAAATACTTTTGATTAATATAGAACAGATCATTTTTTCCAACTAAAAATACTTTTGATTAATATAGAACACCTTTCCATAAAAAAAAATAATGAAATAATAATGCAAGGTATTTATTTATAAACACAATTATTCAAATAAAAGACAAGGAGAAAATAATATAAAATTTGAGATGTTAAGGTTCGAGCAATCTAATTTATGCAAATAGTATTAATGATTTGCTCAACTATACTTGTATAACTTTATGTTCAATTGAATTGGTTCTCCACAAGTAACAATATATACATGTGTAAAGATGGTGTGAATAAAATGATTCTAAATAATATCAATTATAATCATTTTTTTAAATTTTATATAAGCTTGTGAAATATTACTTTCAAACACCAATGCATGAGTGCACCTAAGAAAAAATATGTTGGTAATCTAAAGATCATTGTGAACTATAGTGTTTGTATTAGTTAAGTGCAAAAATTATATTTACTTAGTGGCTAGACATGAGAATTATAAATCAAGTATATCACCATATGAACATGAATGCATATACATGGTAGATGTACAAGTAAACTAAATTATACAGCCATTAGAAATGATTGATTATACATGGTTCGATCAACCATGACGTATGTATATGCTTAGTCCAACTGAGCACTAGGATCAGAAAAAATTTGTAATCACAAACAAGTCTCCTTCGCTCAACATGTAGGTGAAGAAACTTTTATACACTAATATGCTGCTAAATATGTAATTTATACAAATTCAACTCATCTATTTCAACATAAGAAGCAAGTAATTCATATTCTTCTCTGCTAAGTCACACCATATCTACTTCATGGAGAGAAAACTACCACTCCATGCACACCTTTATAGATAATGAAAATTAGTTATAAAGCCAAATTAAATCTCGGTTGAGCCATTAAGGTAACCTAATCGCTATCATGTAAAACTATAGTGCAATTCTATGCAAACCTTAACTGCAAGATAAGCACAATAAAGAAAAATAATTCTAATATACAATAGTACTTTATAAAAAGGCAGAAGTGTTTTGAAATGAACAATGAATTTTTTTCTAAATTTTCCTACAAATCTGACAATATAAGCTCACTTTTATATGATTTTTTAATTATTTATTTTTCTTATGATGTTCTCAAGCATATATAACCATTGAACCATTAAAAATATGCTCAATAAGCATATATATTTTAAGGACACTTTAACTAAAACTTATTGGCCATTATACATAAGAAACAATTCATAATCAACAAACTTAGGAAAATTATACTATCCAATTCATATCATGTTATCTATTCAGCATATTTTATATTGTACCATATGATTTATATATGTTATTTTGTTAGTTAATATGGCTTTTTAATTATTATTTTAACTCCAATAATACCATTCTATCATAAATTATATAGTACGAGCAATTTTAAAACCTTGACTGTATAATCTTAATATTATTGTATGATCAATAGAGTATTTAATGATCAATATCATGTTGTACAATTTGATACAATTTACTAGAGCTTATAACACACATAGATCTAACCTTATAAATATTTAAAAAATTAAATTTCTTAATTAAGTGGCCTAATGGCAATATCTAATATTTATGTTAATTTATATAATATAAATATTTTAGAAAACAATTTTTTCCACGATAAAACAATTTTTTATCAATTTTTAATTAATTATAATATAATATAATTAATAAGTATTTAATTATATCAATTTTTTATGTGTTTATATTTCATCAGCACACTTAGTCTAATTCGCAATGTGCATCATGATTAACTTCTTAGTACCATGTTTCTAAGTACACTAACTTCAAAATTAATCCATTTCTGAAAGCATAATTTCTAATTAATTTTAACACACAATATCAATATCATCATGTTGGTCAGAATACAAATAACATATCCTATAAAAAAATTTGTGATCCATATTAGATGACACATCAAACTTAACCTGTAATAATCAAATTAATAATAATGCACACATATGTTGTATGAACTCATGGTTTCATCAATCTCTCCAAATATAATAATTATAAACTAATATATGTGTGATGAGATAAAATATATTATATTTTAAATGAGTTATGTTATGAATCAAATGCCACAATTTTTTTATGTTTAATTTAAAAAACTGGGTATAAACTTTGTTCAAACCTACTTTGAACTCTATTATATCATTGATATTCTAGAGGAGTTGATTCGTAAAAGTTGAAAAACATTGATAGTAATAGAATTCATTTATAATTTAAATTGCACATAACTTTTTTCTAGAGTATCTCATTCACAATTGCATAAAAGTCACAAAACATAAGTTGCAATCATTGAAATGATATTAAGATACAAAACATCATTGATATTAATAATATCCATCCATAGTAATATATAAATTATTATCATGATTGTACCAAAATGTTATTTACAATAACAAGATTCAATATTAGTAGCAGAGAATTCAATAACTTTACAGTAAGATGGCATTATTTTTAATAATATGTTTACATTCTCAATCAAATATAACAATGATGAAAATAAATAAATAAATAAAATTATAATGTTCAACCATTATAAAGAATCAAGGTTACCGAATAACAAATAGACACATAGTTTATCTTTATAGAATTGTATGTGATCATTTATAACATAAATAACATTCATAATTGATACTAAACTATGTAATATACTAGATTGCAAACAATCAACATTCCTTACAATAAATAATAAAATTTATAAATTTTTATGTTTTTTTTTGAAGAAATAACATATAATACAAGATGATGAAAAAGTTTGTATCCATAATTTCAATTCTAGATACCAAGTGCTTGATTTTAGCACTTCATTTGTGTTGATTTTTGTCTACTTCCACATTGATGATAAATGCCCTTATTATGTACAAACAATTTAATACATTCTAGTAATGTACTAAAAATTTTATTGAGTGGGGTTGATATTTGGCCTTCATGTTTAAGTTGTAAGTAAAAGCAACATAGTTATATGATGTGGACTTCATAGATGATTTGATTTCATATATTACATTATGGATCCTATTTTTGTTTTTTGGATAGTATATGAATTTACATTAGTTTACACATTAGGATCCTCTTCTCATTACCAATACATACTTTAACATAAACCTAGGCCACTTAATGAGATTTCTAGGCTTTTCTTGCTTCATAATTTCATAAATATTTATCCAACAAATTGAGTAAACTCTTTTTTTGAAGGAATCAATATGTAACCTAAATGTATTAAGATATAGCCAAAATTATCCCCTTCTTAGAAAATAAAATGCATCCAAATGGTATAAGTAAAATAAATCATATTATAAATATTATATTATTTACATATATTTTATTTTTATAATCATCAATATTAGTATTAGAATAATTATCTTATTATCCAACTAAAATTATGGGTAAATTATACTTTCCTACCACTTACCATTCCAAATTGTATTTCTTTCTAAGTTATTTCTATTTTTTTATGTTTTCATTTTAGTTTAAAGAGGATTGATAGCACATAGATCCATGGCTTGTGCACTTCTTGCCAATGAATCTATGAAATTTCTATTTGAATTCCTCTTAGAATATATTTTACATTAAACTCCTTTTACAAAGAATTGGTTTATATTTTATGATTAAGAAACACATTTTTTCTTTTAATTACAAAAAAAGTTCCAATGACTGAGAACATATTTAATCTATGAAATTTATGTTGTGGTTTGGTTTGAATGTTCAAGTCAACATGAGAGAATAAAAATCATATTACTAATTTTTTAATTAAATAATGTCTTGTGGATTACATCCAAGGAATGAAGCATTGAACAAATAAGAGGAATAGAAAGAGGAAGGAAAGTAACGTGCACAATTGCATAAGCTTTTTAGGAATGGATTCAATAATCCCCACTTGAAGAAATGACCCTCATATTTATATATCATAGGGGTGTACAATAAGTTACATATTTGTGCCAATTTTAATAGTAACATTACAAGTAATTAATGCACGATTACACTTTTGCATATTTGTAAATGATTTTGGGTTCCTTCATATTTGTAATTGTCATTTGTATCATTCTTCTAAAGTGGGGTATTAATGGTCCTCTGCAATTAGCATTTGATCATCTGATAATTGTTCGGTA